TTCAATATTTCTGGAAAGCAGAAATGTTTCAGGGGCTAAAATTTCTAGTGCTTTTAATACATCCACAGGGGCATCCAAATATATCAAAATTGTAAAGATTCACTATCCACCCATTTTCAAAATTTCCCAAAACTTTGTAATACCTTTAAATTTTGATAGCATACTACTTCTACTTTATGAAAAGCAAGGAATCATATTATATACAGCTCATTATTATATTCTGTTCACAATATCTGTTTCTTTTCGTTTTTTTTTTCTTTTCTGGGACGCACTGAATAGGGACTTTTAGATTTGCACGACGACATAGTACACTGCTTTGAAAGGCAATATGACGTCCTTTCAGCGTCACACGTATCAGTCCACTATGTCGACGTGCAAATCTAAAAGTCCCTACTATCAGCTTCCAGCATGACCCGCGAGTTAAAGTATTGCCCCCCCCCCCCTTCTCTCTCTCTCTCTCTCTCTCTCTCTCTCTCTCTCTCTCTCTCTCTCTCTTATATATCTATCTACACATTTTAAGAATTATGAAAATACCCGCATTTCCTTCAAGGTAGCTGAAACCGAGTATCAACAGGTTGGTTTTCCCTTTGTTAGCACATTATCTAGAAATAAAACTTACCGAAATTACAAAAGAGGAATTATATCATCTTTATCACAAAACAAGAGAGGGTAGAATGTCTTGAGAGTTACACAATTTTAGAAGGCTACTCACTTATCTCTAGAAAGTGAGAACAATAGAAATGGGTTAACCGGGCAGCAAAGAATTCTATACACTGGTATTTCCTTCAAGGTTGATGAAACCGAGTATCAACAGGGGGTGTTTCATAAAGCTGTTCGTAAAGTTACTTTACGAACAACTTCTATATGAAGTGCCAAATAGGATGCCCACATTTTTTCCCGATGTTTTAACAAAAGTGTGACTATATTTCCAATAACCTCAATAAAATTATGGCAAAAAATATACTTTGCATTAATTTTGTTGTTATAATAAGAATGTTAATCTTCATCTGCATAGTTTAACTTTAGTTGATGCAGTTAATAATGGTTGAGCATCCCATTTGGCTTTTCATATACAAGTCGTTCGTAAAGTCATGCGTAACTTTACGAACAGCTTTATGAAACACCCCCTGGTTGGTTTCCCCTTTGTAAGCACATTATCTAGAAATAAAATTTACCGAAATTACAAAAGAAGTACTATCTTTAACACAAGACACGAGACTGTAGAATGCGAGGTACAACATTTTAGAAGGATAGACCTACTCACTTATCTCTAGAAAGTGAGAACAAAAGAAATGGGTTAACCGTTCAGCAAAAATATGGTATTTCTTTCGTGCTTTACCTAATTTACCTAATTAACCTAATTGATTTGATCACAAAAAGAATAGCACTGGTTTTTTTCTATATAAATGCTTATAGTTGTCATATAAATGTTCTATTCCCTTTTATGATTTCTCTAAAAGGAAAGACCTGATTTTATGTTACGATAAAAGCTTAGGAAAAGGCATGAGAAAATCACTCTCATTGGAAAATAATGGGTAATTCATGATAATTGGTGAAGAGCAGGCGCGTACGCAGGGGGAGGGGGTGTTTTGGGGGTTAAGCCCCCCCCCCCCCCACAAAAAACAAAAAAAAAAAAAAAAAAAAATCGAAAAAATGAATACTCCTTATCCCACCCCCCCCCCCCCCCCCCCCCCCACCAAGATAATTGTTTCCTCTAAATACTGGGCAAAAGTGATTGGACATATTACATGTATTTTAGAAGTGCAGAAAGTTCGAAGGATTTGGAATACGTTTTCTGTACTCTAATGGGCGGCTTCAGGAAATGTGGGCATTGGTGGTGGTTACCCCCCACCCAGGTGGGGTAAAACATCTCAACATACTGTGTTTCTTAAAATTTTACTAAGGGAGCTCTGATTTGGGTTACGGGGAGGGGGCATCGCTCAAAATAACTTATTTTATGACGTAAATGTCAGCGTTTTGAAATAATGTCTTGTTCGCAACCTGCTTAGTATTTCTTGTTCTTCGTTTGATATCTGTCTGGGGGGGGGGAGTTGCATCCCCCCACCCCGCCCCTCCTCCAAATGCTCTTGTGAGATCTTGGTTAAACGCGATTTAGAGTGTGTCGGATAATTGGTAATAATGTAATAATCATGATATATTTGCATTACTTGTTTTCCGTTAGATATATCTGACGGGATCTGTCGGGACCCCCCCCCCCCATCACTACCCCCTCCTCCAAATACGGTCGTTGTCATGGTTAAACGCGACTTAAAGTGTGTCGGATAATTGGTATTGTGTAATAATATAATTTATATACAGTTGAACTAGAGCGTTACTGCGTCCAAAGCGTCACCACAACATTTCAAGGTTTTAGAACTCGGTTAACTTCACAATTTGGTACAGTCGATCTGGTCATGCGCATACTATAACTCCGAATTGGATTATTGTGCAACATATTTAAGGTGTTGCAAATTTGAGATATATTTCTCAAATCATTAGCAGTGGTCACCACAATGTAATTGTACAGCCCAATAATGAGACGATAATATGTGTCTTTTGTATCATTTTTCCATTTTTTCCATGAACATCAGAAATACATTATCGAAAATATGTTTTTTGTTTATTAACTCAACAGTTCAACAAAATATTTGTATCTTGAGTAGTCAATTTCGTTTATATTCTAAATGTAAATTACTTTGAATGTAATGTTTATTAATTTGTTGCGAATGAAAATCAATTAAATATGGAAAAATATGGAAAGAAAAATTAAGGTTTCATGACCCATGCTCAGGCAACAACTGCTCCGCGGTCTAGTAAAATTATTTAGTGGATTCTACAATGTAGAAGTAAGTTCTTAAAGGTAAAGACCAGTTATGGTCATGCGATTGCATTGTGAAAGAAATGTTGTGGAATCGATCAGAAAAGGTTGATCATCTAGCATCTAGCATCTGCAAGGTTCTGGAATCATCAAAATGATAAGAAATTTGGCCCATTCTTCGTAAAGTTACAAGCACTATACACAGAAAGATGTATATGGGACTACCCTATATCTCTCACAGACCATGAGAGAAACAAATTTACCAAATATATGAATTAGTAGGCGGTTTCCCGGCAAATTTGTTATCATCATGTATTAGTCAAAACATATTTTTTCACATGATTGGTAATGAGAGCTTCCATTTCATTTTTTGATATTGGGGCGTTTCCAATACTGGTCTTTACCTTTAAAGCGAACTTCAAACCTTGTTCCAAACACGAAGCTAACTCAAATCCTTAACATAAATAGAGCAAATAATGCAGAAGTCTTTTGAACAGTTGATATTTAATTCAAATGCTAATATAAAGCGACTGAACCACAACCACTCCATTCTTCTTTGCGAACATATTCGCAAAGATTTTTTTATCTATGGAGGTTCGAAGCTGGCGCTAATTGCATTGACAATTATTGAAGAGCTGCAGTTTCCATACTCCATGATAATATTTTACAATATTCAGACGTGACACAAAGCAATTGGAAGGAATTGTCTAAAAATAGAGACCAAAAAGAGGCGAAGGTTGAAATAAGTCAGGCCAATAAAAATGGAGTTATGAAAGTTTTAAAATATGAAATCAATAAATCCAAGCAAATTCGAAATTGGCAATTTAATTAGCACACTTTTACAGGTCCTCTCACTATGAACATGACTGACAAAGAAAGCGGACAAAATATACAGTTCCTCAGGTAGACAAATCCCTTCACTGCTATTATGTAAAATTGTGTAGAACAGGTATCACATGCATATTCACCTTTTTACATAATAGCAGTGAAGGGATGTTCCTTTGTCTACCTGAGGAACTGTATATTTTTTCCGCTTTCTTTGTTCGTCATGTTCATAGTGTCTTACAAAAAGAGACCATCTAGAATCATACATTTTGAAAAAATGGCAGTTTAATCGTTATGTGTATTGAAATAAATGGGAAAGTAGTCCGGCACTTCTTCACAGTGACATTACCGATTCAGCCAATTCGATGTGCCCATTCGTATAGTGACGAGAACTTCAAAAATCCATAAGTTTCTTATTTTCTGTCAGATTATACACAAACTTTCGCCAGTCTCTGATTTTGTTCTGCTTTCTGTTTAAGTATATATAGTTGTCTGTTAAGGTTGGATTTCACTTTAACAAGTTTAATGGTTACATAACAATGGAACGGAGAACTATGGTAACAACGAACCATAGTTACCATACACACTACAGTTAGCATGGGGGTTAACCCAGTAGACAGACAACCCTAAAACCAACAAAACAAAGGAGATAATAACATAATCACAAATACGTTCGAAAAATCGAGCCTATTAGCAATTTCAATGATATAATCCGAACTTGCTTTCTATAGGATGTACAATAGGGTATTGGAATTGCCCTTGAGTTGATATTCGAACAAAAATTGCGATCGTGAAATGCTGGAGCTGTCAGTTTGCATGGTGAACTGATACTCGATCAAAAAAGGTGAGAGAGAGAGAGAGAGAGAGAGAGAGAGAGAGAGAGAGAGAGAGGAGGGGGGGGGGGTGGGGATTTGGGATAGCAGAATGAAACATTCATCCCTTTAAAGGTATGTCGTAACCGTCTTTTTTTCTCTTCCTCACCCTCTCTCTCTCTCTCTCTCTCTCTCTCTCACTTTTTCTCTTCTTTCACCACAAAAGAAAGAAAAATATGACATAATTTCTTTGAGAATGTCAAGGGCGGGGTCAAGAGCAACAAGGGGAACCCACTGACCTCTACAGGGGAACCCCCCATCGTACATGTATGCCAACTCGCCATAAGAGGTCGACTAGTCTGCACGTACAAACTCAAAGTCTTGAGCTGAGCAGAGACTAGTACAGAGCAAACATGAGGTGCACTAGACTGTGCTGTCGTTATGCATGGTCTCTTATTTTAGACACTATTGATAATGGTTTGTGCCTGCAAAATATAGCCTACATATTCACACGGTCAAAGGTCAATTTAAATCTCCAATTGATGTCCATGTGGCAGACCGGTAATGCTGAGCTGTGGCTTCCGTCGTTTGTTTCTTTTGGCGAATTTCTCGCGAGGCATCACCTCAAAGCACTTTCATTTAGGTGCTGCAAGTTGCTCCAGCTCTTGGGGTTCTAGAAAATCAGTTGGGAAGGTGGATTTTCTTGTTAATCGTTTAAAAGACGTCGAGAAATTATCTACAATGGCCGGTCAACAAGATGGAGAGGTAGACATCGAAACTGTGCTCGCGCCCCTGCGAGCCTCGGTGAAAGAGCAGGTACGTATCCGCTGAGCAGTGCACTGGCTTCGCCCGGCCCGGCGTATACGTAGGCGTACATAACCAATGATACTTTTAATAGAGATCGATGATGCAATCTTTTGCAATCACCGCAACTCCAGGTCTAGAAAAACAAATAGATCCAAATAATAATAAATAAAACAGAAAACACACTTTTCTGTAAATTAGAGTCTAGGACCTATTCTAGATCTAGATCTATTAATTATCTTTTCATAATCTGAATGAGACAAGTATCATAATCATAGAGTACTCTAGACTCTATGTTATAGATTCTAGATCTATAGTAGCCCTATCTACGGCTATACAATTTACAATTACAAGATTAGCTAGTTACAAGTAAATACAAATCTAGACAGAAATAACCGTCTGATTTGGGTCATTTCTTTAATAAAACTGACATTTGTTGACATTCCCCAATACAAACGGTAACCCAGAGATCTCGTACCGTGGGGGTAGCTAGAGCCAGCGATGAACATCTTTTCGTTCACGACATTTTCTCCCCGATTTTCTTTATTTAGATCTAATTTTCTGATTTCTAAATCAGATGTGAATTAGGTTGGTATGTCATTTGTCCTAATTACAGTTATCAAAATTTGATAACTTAATATTAAATGCATAATTTACGGACTAACTTATATGAATTATCCCATTTGTATCTCAAAACTGTGAAACAGTACGTTCATGCACTCGAACTATGATAGAGCTATATGACCCGGCAGCCGATATATTTCCGGGTCAACCTACCAAAACATAGCCAATGGCCAAAAGAGCACTCGTTTTGTGGGAGTTCGTTGGTCAAGCCGGGCTGACTCGTACGTAGCTACGGTAGCTATTGGGTGTTCGAAAAGAAAAAATGAATATTCATCAACTAAAACCAAGACGGATAATGTTGACGACGAGACTTTCTCGGATTAATCATTAATTTAGGATCTAAATGAGCAAGCTATCATAAGTCAAATAAACTATATATATGTTATTTTTAATTTTAATTATAATTGCAGCAGTTATGAGGATGTAAAGAGTGAAAATCTCATTGCATATCTCATTCATCGCGGTCCGGTCGAACCGAACCATTTGTTCCGTACAGTCCCGTACAGTCTCTATAATCGGAGGTCTAGTGGAGCCAGACGTAGTCTCAGTGGAACAACCGACGATTAGAGAGACTGAAGTTTTCGGTCTAATACAAACTAGAAGGTCCATGTTTCGAATACTTCTTTGACTCTTTGAATTGAGGAGATACATTTTAAAAGAAAGAATGTAGACGACAAGTTCAAAGATGATTCGGCACGTGAGCACGCCTGCGAGGGATAACACACATATAAGGTATAGCGTTTTTTCAAAATCTAGCACGCGCGATGTGCGTAAGAGCATTTTCAGACCTTCGAAATGTGTGATGTCATGCCTAATGCGTGATACTTGGTAGCTCTGTTACTATAATCTACTTGTGATAACATGCAATTTATGTATCTCCTCAAAGAAGTATTTGAAACATAGATTTGTATTCACTTGTATAACATCTGTCTTGTTTGACTTATGAAAAGACAATATTTATGGAATGCTCCCCTGTGTAGTTCATAGTTCATAGTTCTTTTTTTTTTTCTTCTTTCACTAACATTTGTACGTAGAATTTCAAATAAAGAAACTGGAACTGCAGATTATCAGTATAACAAAGATAATTGAAAGCGCAATAGTAACGTTCAACATACAACTCTTGTTATTATCTAAAGAAATTCTATACAAAAGTTACTTATGTGAGATCATGTGCTGTACATAAAAGAAAAAGGAGACCTTATAGAAGCTGGGCTTGTTAGAGCAAGGTCCCCAAACAATATAAAACCGAAATGATTTAATTTCTTTGAGTAAAAAAATACTTAACAACTAAACTACCTTAACAGATGAGAACCAATTACTGTACACATGGGAAATATTTACAAAAGAGATAGATTGATGTATTATGAAAAGGAGAAATTGGGAAGATATATATAAGGATGGAGAGCGAAAGCGCAAACCAGAACAAAGCAACAACAGAGAAAAGTTGAGAAGGAAGAAAGTTACGGTATATGCAGGAGAAATGGTGATGGGGAAGAAAAAGGAGAGAGAGAGAGAGAAGAAAAAGTACAATAGAGCAAAAACAGAACAAAACGAGTTTGCTGTCACTTCATGGGTAAATAGCATTTTTCTGAGTAATTTTGAACCAAATTAACAAATTACATTGTTGTGGTCTAGTGGATGAGTCACCCAACTGCAGATCACAAGGTACAGGGTTCGAGTCCCGCCTCAACACTAAAGTCCTTTTGCAAGACGTTGATCTACATTTGCCACTCTCCACCCTGGTGTTAAATGGGTACCCAGTAGGATGCGGAAGTAAATGTGGTTGGTTGAGGGGAGTAGAGAATGTGCATACATTGTGTGCGAGTAAGCCTGAATCCGATGACAGGGGTAATAATATATCTGTAAAGTGCTTCAACACATCGTTGTTTCAATATATTAGGCGCTATACAATAGTGGAATATTATTATTAAAATAAATTTTCAAACAAATACCAATATTTGTTGGGAGGGACTGAAGTTGAAAGGGGCATATCTTGTTTATATCTTATTGTTTGTTTGTCCCTTAAACCAGTAAACAGAGAGGTGTATAGGGCTTTTTCTGTTACTCCCCCAAAACCTGGAACTCTCACAGCTTTCAAGAGGTGTTTGGAAACACATCTTTTATAATTTGTTGTAAAGGGCAATTCCACGGTAACGGAAGGACACTCGGACAAGATTTTTGAACTTCAGGTTCATACTAAAAGAAATGTTTTATTAGTATGTATTAAACTATGGGGAACAAAATGTGTTTCAGTCAAGTGGAAAGCTTCATCAACTTCACAAAGTTTGGATAAACACTAATTAACTGGAAAAACCATGTCCATTTTTATGTCCTTCCGTTACCGAGATAATTAATATGCACATTCTTAAACTACTTAACTATAATGACAATTTTTTGGGGGAGAATTAAAGGCACTTATATAGGTATTATATCTGTACTGTTTCACATCTTATACTAATAAAACAGTTCTTTTAGTATGAACCTGAAGTTCAAAAATCTTGTCTGAGTGTCCTTCCGTTACCGTGGAATTGCCCTAAAGTAATATTCCTCTCTGTTTGAAAATAATGTAAGCTTTAAAATTTCATATGATGTTCTCTCTCTTTGCTTGTTTTTAAGTATTTCATGTTTATGCTCTTTGTACCTAATGAAAAGGCTCTTTATTAATGTAATATTATAGATATATTGACTACTATGAGAGGCATAGCTGTTTCTATAGGCTCAAGGGGACGTTACATCCTGTTATGAACCTGAGGAGAGGTATATCATATATTATATTACATATGTGTTTACAGGGTGACCTTGTGAGACAGATGAAAGAAGGGGGGACTCCGGCCCATGACATCAAGAGAGCAGTGGTGGAACTGAAGGCCAGGAAGAAGGCTTTAGAAGAAAAGGTAAAGAACATTCATCAGAAGAAAAAAAAATCCAATGTCAACTTCTATATGATCTTCCAGAATCCATCAATCATCCCTAACGTTTAAAAAATAGAGATTTTGACACATCTGTCATTTACAGACCCCCAGTTGAAGAAAATGAAGAAGTATTGCTTGTATTATTACAGCGAGGAAGTAGACCCCTTTTCTTTGAATTTTGAGCAAAACTAGAGATTACCACAATGACGTCATGCAACTGACAAATTTGCCTTATTCAGAAGTGTTGTGGTCAAGTGGATAAGTCTCCGGACTCTGAATCACAAGGTACGAGGTTCGAATCCCTGCCACAACACTTTGGGAAGAAGTTAATCTACATTTGCCAAACTCCACACAGGTGAGGTAAAAGGGTACTGGTAGGATTATTCCTTGAAACGGACTGTGTGCTGATAATGGCTGCCCGAGCTAAAGCTAGGGTAATTATTTCCAAAGCTCTTTGGAAGTGTGTACGGACATTATATCATAATGTGTTGTGCGCTATACAAGAACGGATTATTAGTACATGTAGTATTATTCAGATTGCTCAGTCTACATGTATAATGTATTTTTGCCCTCACTCTGATCTTCATTACTAACGAAAACTCAAAGGTTAGATATAAATACTGTCCCCTTTCATAATAGGAGCTTGCCTTGACGTCGATAGGTGAGAAGTTTGATCGGGCCAAGATGGAAGACACTCTGAAAAGGCGCTTCTATTATGACCAGTCCTATGCCATATATGGAGGTAAGTTTGTTTGAAATGATCTAAGTACTTACCGTCTAGTTTTATTCTAAGGAGCCCTGTTCTGTTCGTATCCCATCCTAGCCACTTAGGGTCAGGGGTCATGGATTCACACACCAATGCTCTCCCTTGTCTCCTCTCTCCCTCTCGCTGTTTCTGTGCATTCTGCAAGGGATCTCTTTAATAAAATTAATGAGAGTCATCATACGTTATGGTGATGCAAGGAGCAGAAAAAAACACTTGAGGGCTGTATGACTTTGAGCCTGTAATGTGTGCCGTGGAAGTCAACTTCATCAGTATTTTGGAGGAAACATTTTATCATAGTAAAGGGCATATTTTTTATGCCATATATTGGTTCTTGCATTTAAAAAATCAACATCAAAATTCAAGACTTTTGCATATATGTTATGTCTCGTCTCTCTCTCTCTTTCTAGGTGTGAGCGGGCTGTACGACTTTGGGCCTACAGGGTGTGCCATGAAAGCCAACTTCATCAACATATGGAGGAATCACTTCATCATCGAGGAAGGCATGTTAGAGGTGGACAGTGCTATATTGGCTCCAGAGAATGTCTTCAAGTAAGTATTTCTAACCAGTGATGTCTGTTCAACTTAAATATTTTGTAGATATATGTATGTTATGAAATATTGTCTGTTTCATTTATATTCTTCACTCTCCAGCAAAATGGGGGAGGGAAACCCTTTTCTGTTGAGTAGGAAAAAGCAAATCACCATGGCTATCAACTAAGAATTTTATTTAGTTGTGATAATTCACTGGGTATTCGTCCGTGGGGTAACAAAACCTCGTATCTCAATTTTTTGAGATTTTGATTTTTTTGCATAATTTTGTACCTAATGGCCTACAACACCACCTGATAAATCCATAGAACGCCTCCTGTCTCAGTTTTTTCACAAATTCCACACAAAGGGCGGTGTCACAGCACTAAATCTATTGAGACAGGAAAGGTTTTTTCGCTCTCCTGAAAATTCATGATTTTTGAGATACAAGGTTTTGTCACCCCACCGACGTATTGTTACCTCTTTGCAATGGCATTCTCTTTTAGAATCTATTTGATATCGCATTTCATGTGAAATCATTAATCATACAAATAAGCTTCTCACACAAGGTTTTCTTCCATTTTCTAACCATCTTAAGGTTTTATTTCAATACTTAAGTATTAGGGGGATGTTTCAGGAATATCAAATGATAAGGGTGCTAAACACGTAAGAATGCTTTTCTGGTTTTAAAAAAAAGGCTGTGAAGATGAATATTGCAAAGAATTTACCTGTCACTCCATCACTTTAATGGTACAAGATGTACATTCTACTGACATCTTCTGTTTTTATTAGCTACAGTGTTGTTTTATTCTACTGAATAAAGAAACTTTGGAATCCGGTAAGCTCAACATTTGATGGAAATTTCTCTTCAATCATTTCAGAGCATCGGGTCATGTTGAACGGTTTGCAGACTTCATGGTGAAAGATGGCAAGACTGGAGAATGCTTTCGAGCTGATCACCTCCTTCAATGTGAGTGACAGTTTATTAGCAGTTTACACAGGGAGGTGATAGAGAAGGAGTGGAAACTCTTGTAATTTATTCAAACACATGCGTGAGTTCTAAAGTGTAACAATGGGATGCATTTGATTCCACTTGGCTTTGAATTTCCATGCTCTGAGCCGCTCTTCTACTGCCGGGAATTTCAGAGGCCAGGCACCAGTTTCACATTTATTAAATTACCAGCAAAATTTCAGTGTAAATTATGAAGTCACAAAGAATAGTTTGTAAACCATATATTTGAGTTTATGTTTCTACTTTTTTTTTAAACTTTTGACAGGGATTATTATACTATTTTATTGTAGATTTTAAATTTTTTTTTTTGTAAGTGTCTTTTCTCTACATCAAAAAAAGTATGCATCACTACTATTTAGAATTTAAGGGTATTTCGTTTATCATCAATCAATCAATTTTTATGAATCAAAATAATTAATAAAGGAGGAGGCGCGATAGCTCAGTGGTCTCGTAATTCTGCGACCCGGTTCTTAACCAAGTTGATGCACTAGCGCCCTTTGGTAAGGCATTAATCCTCATTACCTGGTCCTTCATAGAGGACCTTAAGCCGTCAGTCTTCTGGTTGCTTAGTTACAAGCATTTATGCTTTCTTAGCAGTCGGGTGAAATAACCACCAACAATTAATAGAAAAGATACATTCTTTGAGTAAACAAGATATTGGCTTGTTTTCATTTATTACATTTTGGATAGCATACCTAGAGAAGTTAGGTGCTGCCAAGAAGGTGACCGAGGAGCTGAAGAAGGAATACCAGACAGTGATTTCTCATCTAGAGAACTACGGTAAAGATGAGTTAACGGAGCTGTTTAGGAAGTACCAGGTGAAATCACCGACCACAAACAACGATCTCTCGGATCCCATGGAGTTCAACCTCATGTTTGCCACTGCCATAGGTCCTGCTGGAAACATGCCAGGGTAAGGTGATATACTGAGTTAATGGCTTGAATTGAGATGTGACCGGCATAATTGGCAACTACTCTCAAACTTCTTTAGTTGAAGAAACTTCCAAATTTTACAAGCAATCCAGATTTACTCCAGTTCACATCTCTCACATTTACATTTAGAATTCAGCCTTGTTTCAGACTGTAATGTATATCTGTAATGCAGTCAAATTTCAGTTTTATATATTTTCTAAATGATTTTTTTCTGCTTACTAGCTCAAGATGGAAATGGAATACATTCATAAACCCTCAGAGGTTCAAAACAAGATCTATACACTTAACAGGGAAAGTCCAACCTGATATAAAGTCGGTTTTAATTGAAGCAGAAACATGAGACTGGAGAAACAAGTCAGTGAAAGTTTGAACAAAAACGATTGAAAATAAGAAAGTTATTAATTTTTGAAGGTGGGATCAATCAAACACAAATTGGCAACTCTGACATATCTTGCGAGCTCCCCCTCAATTTGCCCTGTACTAAAAATAACTTCAAAAATTTATATTTACCCTCAAGAAAAATTTCAACCATACATTCATCCTAAATATGATTATTTAAAATATTTTTTTTGGTACAAATTCCTGTATGAAACAAATCTATTCCATCATCAGTCACTAAGAAATTGAAAAATGTATGCGTTCTATTCCCTTTTTGGAATACTATTTATTATTGCAGTCTTATTGTTCGTTGGCTTAACATTGCAGATATCTAAGGCCGGAGACTGCTCAAGGTATCTTTGTGAACTTCAAGCGACTTCTGGAGTTCAACCAAGGTCGTTTACCCTTCGGTGCTGCTCAGATTGGCACTGCATTCCGTAATGAGATCTCCCCAAGGTCCGGCCTACTCCGAGTCAGGTGAGTTGATTGGTTAATTGATTGATTTTTATTCACCAAGCTTCCAACATGCAATATACAAGAATAACAGATCAAAATTAAGTCAGCTTTAACAGGATAACCCACGAAAGCTTGAGAACTTATTTCCAGTGGGGTCCCGACAAAATTAATAAGTTATAATTGTAATATTACAGACAGATAAGAAAAAAAACTTATTAAAGATAATAATGATGATAATGATAATAACAACGTTAAACTGATGATAGAAATTAGTATGATAATAAGTACAAGAAGGAAAAGAAGGAGAAAAAAAAGATGAGGAGGAGGAGGAAGAAGAGGAAAATAATGATCAATATGTAGAATGTTTTTTTTTTTTATGTTGAAGGTGACCAATTACCCATTTGATAGGTTCCATGCTGGAAACGTTTAAAAAGAAAAGAAAAAAATCAGCTTTGACTTTTACATGTACCTTTGTATAGAAAAAAATGCTCTAGAAATGCTGGTGAAAGCAAATTGCGTGTAGGTTGACTAAGTGTTTATGTTATCCTTTCATTTCTTTATATTCCTGAACCAATTTGCTGGTAGACTACCCTTTATTTAATTTTTTAAAACGTTTCATACAAAGTACATTTTGTTTGTAGGTGTCCAAAAAGCATTGTTGAATATTACCCAGTATTTTTTTTTATTTAGTATATATTTGTGCAATGAAATGTCAACATTTGTTTCCTAATTTTCAGCTATTCTGCAATGTGTATCAAATTGGCAAAATCCAGAAATTCACACAGGAAAATCAAAATATAATTTGCTGTATTAAACACTGCCATATCACTTTTGTGTGTTAATATACCTGTAATCTCATATCATATCATATGCATTTCATTTCAGAGAATTTACCATGTGTGAAATTGAGCACTTCATCGATCCTACCAACAAAGATCATCCTAAGTTTGATACCGTTGCCAACTTGGCCATCCCTCTGTTCCCTGTCGATCGGCAGGTTGGTGGGCTCTCTCCAATCACCATGACGATAGGGGAAGCAGTTGAAAAGGTAGGAAACGGACATCTTTACCTCAAACTGCTCTAGGGTGATTTCATGCCAAAAAATAGATATTTGACAATGTTTTCAAGTAGACCATTTACACAAATGATTAAAATGAAGACATGTTTTCAAGGGTTTGACAATTACTATCAGAGTGTCACATTTCCTTACAATCTTTTAAATGACATAAAATCCAGTGGATCACAAGGTACAGGATTTGACTACTTGCTATGTAGATTTGTCCATACTCGACCCAGGAATAGTTAAAGGGTGTGTAGCATGGCGAATACTGGTTAACGGCATATACAATTACTTTTTGGACAACTGCACGTAAACAATGGACTTGATTAAGGATCAGCGCGCGCTAGCGTCCGCGAAACAGACCAAAGTTCTCATGCTTTTGTTTTGCGTATGTTGCACGCACGTGAATACTGCAGTCGCTTCATCCGTAGTCGTATTATACCTGATTGGCCCAGTCTCTTCATGCTACACCCCTTTTAGTAAGTACCTGGTAGGAATGTATTCCCTTAATGGTTGCAGTGCCTTAGGGCAGCTTGGCTTAAGCCAGGGTAGTGGTGATACTTACATGTAGTAGTTGCCATGAACATTCCCCTTGGATGGTTACCTTGTGTGTGGGTGAGAAAATTATCTATTTTTTTTGCTGGTGTTCTTAATGTGTGTTGATTGTGGTTGTTGCTGCTGTTGTTATTACCATCATCATTAGTATTAGTCTTTTTTCTTCTTCTGCTTTCCTCTAAATATGTCCTTCTCCTCCAACAATCTCTTTATCACAGGGCATGATCAAGAGTCGAGTCTTGGGTTACTTCATGGGTCGAACCTTCCTCTTCATGATCAAGGTTGGCATCGATCCTAAGAAGCTGAGATTCCGTCAGCACATGTTCAACGAGATGGCTCATTATGCCACCGATTGCTGGGATGCTGAGACCAAGACATCATATGTAAGTGTGCTCCCAATTTTTTCTATTTAGGTATGAATTCTAAGGCATTTTTTACCCAAATATGTTCAGCAAATTACAAATGACAGAATGTGCAATGCTATGCTACACAATTTATTACCGGTATACAGTAAATCCTATAGAGTTGGTGTTGCTGTATAATGTATGAATTAGATGATATAATTTTGTTGTATACTAATTTAATAATATGCAATATTAAAATTTCCTTCAAATTCCATATTCTGTCAATAATTCTTAACAAAATGTTTATTTTATCCTATCTCCCATTGTTTCTATATCATTGTTCTCTCTCTTTTTCTCTCTCTGTTTTGCCTCTGTCTCTGTCTGTCTCTATCTCTCTCTCTCTCTCTCCCCCCCCCCCTCACTCTTCCACCCCCTCACTTATATTTCCTTACCCCTGTTCTTCTTGTGTGGTTTCCTCTGTATCTAGGGCTGGGTGGAGTGTGTTGGTAATGCTGATAGATCCTGCTATGATCTCACGTGCCATGCAAAGCACAGCAAGGTGGCTATGGTGGCTGAGAAGAAACTGCCTGAACCCATATCCTTTGTGGCAAAAAAAAAAGAGCACATATGTGAATACTTGTCAAATAGCATCAATGAATTAAAATTACACATTGTAGTGCGGTATGGTATGTAATCCCGTAGGATTTTTGTGCCAAATTTGATTCTTTTGCTGTTTTGGCTTCAAAAGGGTCCCAATTGGCCAAAAATGATGGGGTTCAAATTTTCAGACCCCTCCTTCATTTCCACGGGGGTCCATATTGGGCGCCAAAATGGTTTATATAATGCGCAATAGGGAAATTTGGTGTCTTCAGGAAAATTTGAACCCCATTAATTTCTGATAGCTTGGACTCCAATGAATCCGAAAATGCAATGTGTAAAAGAAAAATCAACTTTGGCACAAAAATCCTACGGGAGCTGTTTTAGTGACATACCGTACCACACTATTGGTTTTAGACAGTTTAAATTTTGGAGGCCAAATATTTCAGTTACAAGGAGCGTTCAATAAGGGGAGTAGGTATTTGGTAATTATGTTTGATGAATATTTCATCTTTCCTAAACCTGCTCCTTCATAGACGGGCTATGAACTTCTTGAACGCCTTTCGTACATAGTTTATGATTATGGTTGCAGGCAAAGTAACCACTCAGCTTCTAAACTAAATGTAAAAACAGCCTTTTGATACATACTTGGGCTGAGGTGTTGTTAGATCACTTTAAATTGAAGAGATTAGATTAAATTCGCCTGCAACATTTGTAGACAAGTAAAAACAGGTCATGAGAAATTTAGAGGTCACAATTCTTTTTCCATGAAGCACACACATATTAACTGATATTTTTGCAAGTAGCGGAAAAAAAGTAGGCTTATATATTTATAAATTTGCAAACTGAAGATTTTAGAGGGGGGTGGTATCGGAACCGTTTCAGGTGATGCCGTTTAATTACAGGAGAATGATTTCGAGCAATGATAATTACCCCCCCCCCCCCCCCCCCCCCCCCCACTGAGTGTTATTTTGGGTAAGCATATGCATGTTTCCTCCCTTTGAAAGCACCTCCTTAAGTGCGGTGTGTAAAGTCAATACGGGCCAATTTTTTTGTGTATCACCAGCCAGACTTTGTTGCATGAAAAGTACCCCTTTACCAGAGATTTTGGGAACATGAATGCAGTCCCTCCATTCCCGGAGTGGGAGGCCGGGATAATTATCCCATGACTGGAAAGAGAGAAAGAGTAGAATCCTTGACTGAAGATATCCACAAGACCATTGATATTACAGAGGCTGCTCCCGTGAAGAGTGTGATGGGGAAAGCATTCAAGAAAGAAGCCAAGGTTGTCGTGGAGCATCTGACTAGCCTGGAGGCTGACCGACTTGCAGACTTGGAGAAGGCGCTGAATGACAACAGGTAAAGAGCATGACTCCCAGGAAAGTTTAAAACCATTGGGTTTTTAAACATTTTGAGGATGTTTGTGGATTGCTAAGAAAGCATGTATATGCTTGTAAGTAAGCAACCAGGGGACCAACGGCTTCAAGTCCCCTCTAAGGGACTTGGTAATGAGGATTAAAGCCTTACCACAGGGCATGAGGGCATTGTCTTGGTTTCAAACCCTGGCCCTCCCGGTTATGAGACCACTGCTTTACTTCTGAGCCATTGTGCCCCTTCTGTTTTAGTAGGATTTCATTCAAAATTCTAACATCAGATTCTGTTTTTGATTGCTTATTTTACTCAATACTAATGGAAAGTATATTGCCATATTTAACTTGATGAAGAGAGACAAGCGTTTCGTTAGTCTCAAAGTGTAGATCTGCATTCTTGAATTCAGAACTGAAAAAATTTAAGAGATGAAAAGTTATAATGTGAGTTTTAAATGATATTCATCTGATTAGTTTGAAACACATAACCTTTGTTTGTCTGAGCAACAACTATTATGTATGATCACCTCATAAATTTCCTGAAGGCCTTGAGAAAAAACAGATTAAAGATGAGATGCAAGACTGGTTCATCAATACTAACAATAAATTCACATCATGTCCCTTAGCCCATTGACTACTAAACTAGGCTTTGATACAGGAGCAACCTGATTCCCATAGCTAATGGGTTAGTTGGCAGATACTGTAAGTCAATTGACCATTTTTCGTAATGTAACCAAATATATTCAAAAGGGCCTTGATACAAATTATACGAATAATTGTTTTTCAATAGTCAGAATGCAAATTGCATATATTACATGTTGCTAGGTAGGCCAAGCCATAATGTTTATCCTACGTAGTATACAAATAATACACATCAGTGAGGGCATTAGTAAGAATTACCCACACGAGGTACCTTTGGAACAGTCTAACACCAAGTGTGGGTAATTTTACTAATGCCCGAACAAAATGATGTGTATTATTTGTTTTATAAAATTATGTTTTATTTTTTTATAAAATGATGTTTTCTAACATGATTTTGATAATGACCGGTCATTACCCAAATTACGCGCGATTACGCGTTAAGCAAAATAAATGCCTTGTCACGTGTACGCTTTCAACCAATCATTTGATTAAGATCCAAGTCATCATCTTATAACAACAACTAATGTATGCAATTCACCTTCTGTCTATTGAGATACACTTATTCGTAACAGGTGAATTAAATAAATTATATCAAGGCGCTTCACAAACGCATATACATGAATTTGGTTACATTACAAAACTGGCCTATTGTTAGTGACAATTTTAATATTTGTAGTCTTATCATGTGGGGAATGAATCGTGAGGTGCTTTATATTGTTTTGCCCATGTTTTTGTTTCAGTGAAGCTACTGTGGAGGTGAATGGAAAGAGCTTTAAATTGACTCCAGACATGCTCAAGATCAATAGATATCAGAAGACTGTTCATGGTAAGAATTAATGTGGTGAGGTGCTGCGAGTCAATGCTTGAAACTTGTGATTGCCTTGTCCAGTGGTTGACTGGTGTTGAAATATATTCCTTAATGTTGTGGAGATGTCTATATCGAGGAAAGTTTATTGTTGTTTTAAAGCATCATGAGCTCACTACCTAGCCCTCTTAGATATGAAATAAGTTCTTTAATTTAAAAAAAATCATTATTACCATTTGAATGTCTCATTTAGATTTTTGAGAGATGATGTCATATAAATGTACAGTTGTAATCAGTGCAGTTTTCGATGCGTAATGGAACTGATCCGTAATACATCTTCTTGAGTGTTATGGTATCAATGTTACCTACCACATCATTCTCATATGATAAAAACAACACACATTCAATTTAATTCCATCTAATTAATAATATTGAAATGTTAATGTCCCCATATATGTCTCATTAAACTATGTATCATAGCTGTAATACTGTATGTTTTATGTCTATATGCTATGCCCTGCATTTGGCAAATCCATTGTCCAGGGTGTTGTATGCTATATTATGATGTATATCTGTATAACTCTGATCTATTTGTTCCACTGTCTATTTTGATTATAATAATATTATGTTCTTGTATAGCGCTCATGTCTGTCATACTTGACACTCCTGAAGCTCCTGATTATTACCCTGGCTTTAGCTCGGCTGCCATTACGGCGCTCTAGCATTTCAAGGAATTAATTCCTGGCAGGTATCCCTCTTAGGATTATGAAATAAATGCTGATTGATTCATTCTTTTTGTACAGTGGAGGAGTTTACCCCGAGCGTGATAGAACCATCCTTTGGAGTGGGACGTATCCTGTACTCTATTCTTGAACACAACTTCAAAGTGAGAGAGAACGATGAACAGAGAACGGTAAGTAGACCCAGATAAACCAGCATGGCTCACTTTCATAACTCCTTAAGTAGTCACCTGAAGAATCAAAGGTGTTTTGAATTGATGAAAAATTCATATCATTGCGAAGGGGAAGCCTTACTGCTCAAATATAACAACTTCCCTCTTCAAAATATGTTTGGGGCCCACAAATCTACCCAGTAATAAATACAACATGGCACAGGGAGATTATGTGTGTGGCATATAACAAGTTAATTAATTATAAGTTCATATACACTACTGCATTCGATTAGCTGTGAGCAACTTTGCTATATGATTAATACCGTTGTTATTGGTATTGAGTTTTATGACTCTACTGGTGATGGTGGTTATTTTACCCGACTGCTAAGAAAGCATAAATACTTTTAAGTAAGCAACCAGACGGCCAATGGCTTAAGGTCCTCTCTGAGGGACCTGGAAATGAGCCTTACCAAAGGGCACTAGCGCATCAACTTGGTTTCGAACCCGGGTCACTGGATTACGTGACCGCTGCTCTACTGACTAAGCTATCGCGCCTCCTTTGGGTTTTAGGTTTAGGATTAGAGTCAGATGTAGTGTTGGGTCCACGGTTGAAGTTACAACCTTAGCTACAGGGGTTTAAATTAGTGATTGTTGCAGGAGCATGTGAGCTACAACAGTATTCCTTTGTTCAGAAATCAATAACTTCATTTTTGAAGCCCCACTGCACTTCGTATAGCTACTTGCGCCCTCTATATAGCATGCCTAATCGGTGCCTGTTGGTCCCCCATGATCCCCTTTTTATGCCTCCGTTACGAAGTAGCCGGAGGCATTATGTTTTCGGGTTGTCCGTCCGTCCGTACGTCTGTACGTACGTCTGTACGTACGTCCCGTTCTCGTGATCACGTTATCTGAAGAACGGATCGATGGATTCCTACCAAACTTTGGTCATATATGTATCTAGCAAAGTCGATGAACTGATTAGATTTTGGGGTCACGAGGTCAAAGGTCAAAGGTCACAGGGCTCATTATGTATGCAAAAACAGCTCGTGATCGCGTTATCTGAAGAACCGATTGATAGATTCCTGCCAAACTTTGGTCATGTATGTATCTTGTAGAGTCGATGAACTGATTAGATTTTGGGGTCACGAGGTCAAAGGTCAAAGGTCACAGGGCTCATTATGTATGCAAAACGGCTCGTGATCGCGTTATCTGAAGAACCGATAGATGGATTCCTGCCAAACTTTGGTCATGTATGTATCTTGCAGAGCCAATGAACTGATTAGATTTTGGGTAACGAGGTCAAAGGTCAAAGGTCACAGCGCCCATTATGTATGCAAAAACAGCTTGTGATCGCGTTATCATTAGAACAGATTGATGGATTCCTGCCAAACTTAGATCATTTATGTATCTTGCAGAGCCAATGAACTGTGTAGATTCTTGGTTCATAAGGTCCAAGGTCATGGGCTCATTATGTATGCAAAAATAGCTTGTGAACGCATTCTCATTAGAACTGACAGATGGATTACTATTTAACTCTGGATATCTTGCAGAGCCAATGAGCTGAGTAGATATTAGGATCATGAGGTCAAAGTTCAAAGGGTCATATATGTATATGAGAAATTGTTTGTAATCACGATATTCTGAGAACCTGTTAATGGATTACAATTGAACTTGAATTTGAAAAATTTCTTCTGTTTTGGTTTGTAAAATTGCTCTATGACGGAGGCATCATTTTCGACTGCGCGCAGTCGAATTCCATCTAGTTTTAATGTTAATCAAGGGCTGATTTGATGAGATAACCACCTGTCTGTGACCCTTCAGGGAGGTCTTATCCCCCTGGCCAAACTAGTGCAGACAGGCTTTGATAGAGGATTTATACAATTTATTTTTGTTTGTTTTTCTGCCATGACAGTATTTCACTCTGCCTCCAATCATCGCACCATACAAGTGCTGTGTACTGCCTCTCAGCTCCAACAAAGACTTTGAGCCTCTGGTAAAAACACTAGGTAAGTCTTTTCACAAAGACTAAGATCGACTTTAATTTGGACTTAACTATGACAGGCCTTTGATGTCACTGCTTGCTCTCACCATTGGTCTCTCAATTATGATCCTTAGATCTTATTTTTTCCTTCAATAATGAACTATCAAAAAATGTAAATTCTGTAGATTTTTGACCATGATTTGTACGTCCCTTGATAAACCAATGCCAGTCAATGGTGAGAGTAAACAGTGGCATGAATTGCCTGCCATAGTTAAGTCTAACTTAAAGTTGATCTTAGTCTTTGTGAAACATTCCCCAGGTCTGTTACAGACATCGGTGGTCATGGCCCTCCATTTCTGTCTATCATCTACTCTTCTTTAAAACCTGGTGTTGCTGATTTCATTTTTGGTTGCCCTTTTGTTCAGGCTCTGCAAATATGTGAGGCGTTGCCTTCCCCTGCCTATATGTACGTCTCAAATTAGCCATTGACATGTGACCAAGTTTTTCGTGTCAAAATTTTTGGTTTAGCTTACAGTATAATTAAGCTACCAAAGATTGTAACTAATTCCAAAGCAAACGTTCCAAGGTTTGGTCAATGTCTAAAGCATCATGATAATATTTGTTCTCTCTCTCTCTCTCTCTCTTTTCTACTCTTTAATACTTATATGATATTGGATGGCTTTGAGTGTGATACAAGAATATATTGCCCGAGCTATGACAATATTGGACGAGTCAAACTGGAGTGTAATATTGTCATAGCGAGAGCAATATATTCTTGTATTACACGAAAACAAAGCCACACAATATTATTATTATTATCTATATTAGTCTGACTAGCGAAATAACAAAATTTGACTTACCTCAGTAAATATTGCTTCGTTTTGGTGTGATATCGCCATGATATCGATATCGAAAGTTGAAGTTCCCAGATGACTGAGAAATACGAAAACAATATTGGTCAGTCATCTGGGTACTGTGCTAAAGATATTGAATACACTGATTTATGATACCACTTGGAAGCCTTATATAGATAATAATCTTTGATACTCTTTGATATTCTCCTCAGCCCAAGCGCTCTCCAATGCCAGTATATCACATAAGGTGGATAGCAGCTCTGGGTCGATAGGTCGTCGCTATGCCAGGACAGACGAGATTTCTGTGCCGTTCTGCATCACGGTGGACTTTGATTCGCTGAAGGAACCACACACCGTCACCCTGAGAGACAGGGACACCTTCGAGCAAGTCAGGACTCTGGTATGAACTCTATTCTTTCATATCCATGATTGTAGTAGAAGGTTCGTTTATTTAAAGCCTGTCTGCACTATTTGTAGCTACTTGCGCCCTCTATATAGCAAACAATGCCTAAGCAGTACCTGTTGGTCTCCCATGATCCCCTTTTCCTTATGTTATTAAATTGAGAGCTGATGTGATGAGATAACCACCTGTCGGTGACCACCCAGGGAGGTCTAATTTCTCCTGGCCAAACTAGTGCAGACAGACTTTAAAGGGGGGGGGCAGGATAAAAAAATTGGAAGCTCTTATTACCAATCATGTGAAAGAATATGTTTTGACTAATACGTGATGATACAAATTTTGCCGGGAAATCGCCCACTACTGTAATTGATATATTTGGTAAATTATCATATTTGTCCGGGGGGGGGGGGGGGGGGGGGGGGGCTGTAGAGTGACAATAGAGTATTGGAGTACATGTGTATATTAGCTTTAATAGAGGGCATCTGTTCTGGAGTTGCGCAAGGCATCACAGTTTTCTCTTTTGGTAGAATTTCCAGTATTGCTAGATGAAGCTAGTAACTGTTAATAAACAAGCTAATAAATTATACAATCATTTAGTAAATGATATAATCCTGCTATGTATTTCTTTTGACAGGTATCCGATGTAGCTGACATCATCCGAGACCTCTCCAGTGACAAGATCAGGTGGTCTGACGTCCTTGCCAAGTATCCAAAGTTTGAAGGTCAACAAGAGAAAGATCAATGATGATCACCCCATCCAACCTTACTGTTTATTTTGTCCTTTAAACCTGTTAACTAACATATTCAAATTTATCGAAAATAATATCGCTAGTGACATTCATTTGTCTCCCAATGTATGGTCAACAAGGGATCTAAAAAATCATGATGTTTCATGCGCCGCTGCAACACTTTGTCAGGTGATGAAATATATTGTAAGCAAATATTCAAATTTATTGGTATTGCTTTCCTTGGGACCTAGTGACAAATCATTCCATTAACCTGTTATTAATGAATGAACTACAATACTTGGAATCCAGTCTGCATTCATTTTAAGTTGCTATGTCGGGCAAGCCTCAGGCAAACTTTGAGGCTGTCAGGAACAACCTTTGTTTGAAAAAGTATGCATAAAATTTGAATATGCTAGTAGACTGGTCTATTACCCAGTAGCATCTTAAGAATATGTTCACTGTAATTATTTTCTCATGCAAAGACATTTTTAATTGCATTCTACTCTGCACGGTTTTAGAAAGACTGAAATATTTAAGTGTCTACAGTAATATGCCATTTCCGATACAAAGTCAACCAGGGAGGGGAATCCTGGGGCCCGTTTCACAAAACTTGTCATCAGTGACAAATGACAGTGTTCGTTATAAGCTACTAAAATCCTTGCTTCTGACTGGTTATCAGCTGATTTGTCACTAATTTTTGTCATTTGTCATTGAAAAGAAGCTTTGTGAAACGGGTCCCTGTAGATATAAGTGCATGAGGTTAAAATGTAAGACCTTGTACTTAACCCAATGCCAGTAGGGAACGGGTTCGTTCCTGTATAAGGCCTATTGGAATGGGAGAATTCAGTAGTCTATGGGTTAAACTGATACAGCATTCAAAAGAACACAGGAGTACAGGAAGACAGGAAGGCTTTGGACAATTCCGAGAGTAGATTGAAGTGCATGAGGTATCATGTAAGACCTTGTAATTATCCCAATGCCAACAGGGAACCGGTTGGTTTCTGTATTAAGACTATGGGAATGGGAGAAAACCATTCCAAGAGGGGAACAAATCTGTATTTTCGTCTTTACTCTTTTCGGAACAATGCATCCTTTCAGCTTCATGTAGGTGGCCTAGCTTTTTCATAGAGAGTAAGGCTATTAGTTATTGTAGCCTATGATCATAATGTAACCATGTTCTCATTTTAACATTTTAAAAGAAATTCTGAATATATGCCCCTGACTGAATATCCATGTGGCTTGCAATGTGGTACATCGTTCATCATTATCTTCTGTTAAAATGTACATGCAAGGGCTGGTTGGCGGCCATGTTAAAGGGGAAGTCCACCCTGATATTAAGTTGGTTTTTATAGAAGCAGACAAATGAGAAAACTCATGTATGAAGCAAATTTATTCCCTAACTAAGACAATCAAAGTTTATGAAATTTTCTCCAACGAGCAAATTGGAGAGGAGCTCACAGGATACGTCACAGAGTTGCCAATTTGTGTTTGATTGATCTTTACTTTAAAAATGTATAACTTTCTTAGATTTAATCAGATTTTGCTCAAACTTTCACCGACCCATTTGTCGAATTTGTCTGCTTAAATTAATACCAACTTAATATCAGGGTGGATTTCCCCTTTAGTAATGGATATGAAAAATATGCAAAACTCTGTGATTCTGTGCAATGTGTCTGTAAAACATACAGTCTATGTATGCCTTTCTTTCCATCTGTTTCATCCCAAAATGAAAGCTATCTAGATATACATGTAACCATTGAGAGATTTTCATTAATTGAATATATTAAATGGAGAGAAAAATCATATATCGTACAGGACATGTTGCACGGAATTGCCCCAATGACGATTATGAAATCAAAGAAATATTTTATTTATACAGACAGCATGTAGATATGTAGACCAAAGTTAAAGCAAACATTTATGTTTAACATAGTTACCTAATAGTGTGCATGCAACAGTTACTCTGAAATTTAGTCTTCATAAGGGAACACTTTTGAAACATTTTCCCCAAAGTAAATGCTCATCTGCATGTAAATGTACATGTATAGGGCTATACATGTTTTCTTTTTTTTGGTCACATGCTCCCCTTTTTCCCCAAATTGTTCATCCAAAAATGTAAATGTACATTTTTATTTAACTCTTGAAGAGAATTATGCTTCTCTTTGGTGTGAATTCACAAAGGGGGTTTGAACTTATATCCTACATGTATGGGTAAAACCATGTTTTAACCCCCACCCCTTTAGAAGGCCCCATATGTACAATGTGCATGTTAACTTTATGGAGGTGAAACCATGTCTTCAATAAATTTCCTTTGTGAATTCCAGCTATTGTAATCATGAATAAAATAGTGTCTTTATTAAAATAAAACTTGATCATTGTTTTGTTTTCAATTTATTGTTGTGAAATTTCTGATCCTCACTTGTGTTTCAGTTTTTGTAGGATTGCATACAAGTACATTGGGCAAGTCCATGGCTTTTTATCTCGCACATTACCCATGCTATTAATGATTCTAGTATACCCGGGCCCCCAAACACAAAGGTTTGCAATCTATTGCTAAATGGTAATGGCCAATCAAGATCGTCATTGCATGCACATATTGTAAACAAGGCTGACTATTGACCAATCAGAATCATTATTTCAAACTTGCAACTGATCACAAACCTTTATGTGGCGAAGGGATCAGATAAAATGTTAACGGATGATTCCTTCAATGAAAACCATATTGTATACCCGTACTTGGTAACATATAGGGCACAGAATAATCAAATACTGTGGACTTCCCCACAACCTACACTTATCTTCTTTCTCTTTTTGTTGCTACTCTTCAACTCAACTTTGACTCGTTTATCTTAACATTTCATCTTTCTCTCTCTCTCTCTCTCTCTGTTCATTATATCCATCTCTATTTTTTGCCATGCTTTCTCTCTCCAGCTCTTCTAATGCTCCTCTCTCTCTCTCTCTCGCTCTACCATGCCTCTACTCTCTCCCTAAATGTCTATCTATTCAAATTTCCCCCTCTGCGAGAGCTCTTCCTAATCTATCAAGTCTCTAAAACAAGTACCTCACATCATAATTATAAGGAAAATATGACTACTTTCATCACAATAAACTTGATTTTAATAACGATCTCTCAATGTACCACAAGTACAAAATACTCTATTCTGGAGATATATACATTGTACAGATTTTACAGTGTATATACAAATGTACACACTTTATCATCTCATCATAATCTTTTTCTTTAAAAAAAATCCTTTGCATCGATATGTGCATGTATATACAAGTGTGCTATCAAGATCCTAAAACCAAGTGGCCTTTAATAAAATGCCCACTAACAAATATAGCAAGTTTGCAATCCTTATGGATAATCAACTTGCTGTACTTTTTAAAAGGGCAATCCAAAGTAAGTTATTTGTCACAACATCACAATCCAATGACAACATTGAGATTTGCTTACCGGTAGCTGTAGTGATCTCAAATTTCAAACATTCGTAACATTCTTATTGTTGGCACGATTTATTACAAACTTTAGCCACTCAGTTTCTCAGATTTTTCTGCTTTCATTCCAATGAACTCATTACAACGGTCGGATTGCCCTGTAAGTAACTTTTTTCATTGTTACTACTCTGGTGCATGAATTATCTATACTGTGCAATGAAAAGTTTTTCTAATAATAATATTTACATTAAGCTACAATTACAATCGATGTAACTCGATGGATCTTCCTGAATAAGACAGAAAGAACACGTACTGTACTGGTTTCCACAATGCCTGCATTTAAAGTGGAAGAGGTACATATAATGGTATCACAAAGAATCCCACTTTGAAACGAAGTAAATTTTTTGAGAGTGCTGAACAATGTAAAAGAGAACCACATGTATCAAATTTTTAAATGCTCCATAAAAAAAAAATGTAGAGTGAAGTATACAAAAACAGTTGTAAAAACTTCAAAGCAATAACAATAATCCTCTCAAACAAGTATAAAAAAAGTAACTACCGACTTCAAAGACTTCACCTTTTAAATACATAAAATGTAGAAGATGACTAGATAGAACTTATCTCATTTCACCCAAAAAGCAGCTGGAATTGTGAATTCTTGAGAATAACTGCCACATAAAATCTTATGTTCACTCTTCATTTACAAATAAACGTTCCTGTATGTCAGATAAATCTTCAACAATCTTGCGCCAAATACTTCTATCTGTGAGTGTCATCAATGTGTACAGTCGGTGTGGGAAGACGAACAGTATTGCATCCAGAATCTCATAATAGTAGACAACACACATAGAGGCTGTTCACACCGGCAGAGATAGCGCGCGCTACACCGTGCCATCTCTCCGGTTTGGAAGGTACAATGTCGTTTCGGTCCGCCCAACAGTGAGCCACGGCGAGCCAAAAACGGCATGCCACTGGAGCACCTCTTGGGGGTGGTCCACGAGAGATAGCGCGGTCTAGCACGCGCTAGAAAAAAGGGGGTGCTACGATAGACCGCGCTATCTCATTGCGGTGTGAACAGCCTCATAGTGACAAAGAAGTTGAAAAAAACAACCAAAACAGCACAATACAGATATTGTGATAGACAAGTCCTTCTAAACAATCCCTTATTCAAATATGGCAGGTTGCCATCTACTGTGCCTCATATTTGTTAAAGAATATTTGTTGAGATTAGTTTGTATTTCAGTATGTAAATCAGAACACTGTCAAATCTTTGTGTATGCTACAAGAAGAATAAACCATCACAAAAATCTGAATCAAAATGATTTGTAGCATTGAAAAACAAGGAGGTAGAAAAACATGAAGTACTGAACTAAACACATCATGAAAACATTCCTGAAAAGACAAATATTCATACAAAAACCAGATATTCCCAACGGTCAAGACGGAGCCAGCTATGAAATTAGTGACAAACTATTATATGTACATCCAGCTCCACCTGCAGTTACATTATACAGTGAAACCTGTATATAAAGACCACTCAAGGGAGACAACAAAAGCGGCCTTTATTAGCAGGTGGTCTTTACGTACTGGTTCCTTTTTAACACGTTTCAATGGGGAAACACATTACAAGGGAAACAAAAGTGCAGTCTGTATAGAGAGGTGGTCTTTCTATACAGGTGGTTGCTATAAAGCAGGT